TCCATATATCAATCAAGTTTAACTCCTTCATCATTTCCCTAAAAATCTTAGGAAGCTCTCTTTTCCCCCCTTTATTCTTCCCCCCGTTACTATGATCTTTTTGATAATCAGCAATAGAGTTGAAATCTCCTATGATACAAATATTTCTTTTTTCCAATCCTACCATTTTTCCATACAGATGTTTAAAAAACTCTTTTTGATCTCCATTCGGGGCGTAGATTACCACTAAGAGAATTGCGATGGCATTGATCCAGATCTGCAAACCCGGAGTTCTTCCCTCAGAATCTGACCATATTAACTCTGCTTTCAGGTCTTCTTTAACATATACAGCAATCCCTTTCTTTTTTCCTGTGTCTGCTGGTGCGGTAAATAGCTTCCCTAATTTCAGGCATTCTAAGTGTTTTTCATCTGTTTTCTTTATATGAGTTTCTTGTAGGCATGTTATATCGGCATTTTGTTTGGTTAATTTAGCTAGTATCCTTTTCCTTTTTATCGTCGAATTTAAACCGTTTATATTAATTGATAGTAATTTTTTTCTTCTTCCATTTAATTAATTCTGTTTCACTCTTTGTCTTGTAACGACACCTAACTCTCCTTGTGTCTGAAGGTGTGTAGTTTCTTCTGTCTCCTGAGGTAAATGAGTATTTCCTTGGTTTCCTGCTATTCCATCTTTATTTTTGTAACCACCATGATCTTCCTGGGAGCTTGTTTCCAATTCCTCCTTACTGCTCTGATGTTCCGGACCCACCAGCCATTCACAGAAGTCCTGGGCCTTTTCCATGGAATCTATTTTAATTTTCCTTTCTTTCCGAGACACTAACATCCCTTCTGGGATAAGCTATTTGAATGTAATTCTTTTCTGATTTAAATAAGCTGCTAGAAACTTGTAATCTCGCCTTTGTTCTCTTACTCTTCTCGGTATCTGTTTGAGAATCACAATTTCTTTACCTTTATATGTGATTGTTCCATCTCTAGACATTCTATAAATAATATTCCAGACACTTCTTCTCGTAAATCGTATATGGACTTCTCTTGGGCATTTGTGGCATCTCGCATAATTGGTACTGACTACTTTGAGATTTTAAAACTTATTATTTTTATTGCCAGGGAAATGTGTAGTTGGGATTTTCTTTGAATACCCCCTGAGAACTCTCTGACTGTGTAGGAATGGGGTTCCTTGATGGATCTGCCTGTTAATTTGGCTAATGCCTGAAACTAGCCTTAATGCTTATTTTATTTTATTATTTTATTTTATGTATTATGTATTATTTTATTACATTATTATATTATTTTATTTTATTTACTTTATTATTTTTATTTTATTTGTTTTACTTTATTATTTGTATTATTTATTTATTATTTTTATTTTTGCCTTTGAATCAGTGTTGACTCCTAGTGACTCCTTGGAAAGGCCCTGCAGTGTTCTTGTCATGGCCTTCTTCCTAGGGCTAAGAGAGAATGACTGGCCCAAGGCCATCCAACTGGTTTTATGGCAAGACTAGAACTCACACCTCCCTGTTTCTAGCCTGATGCCTTAACCACTAGACCAGTGGTCTCCAACCTTGGCAGCTTTAAGATTTGTGGACTTCAACTCCCTGAATTACTCAGCTGGCTTTTTTGAGCTGAGGAATTCTGGGAACTGAAGTCCACAAGTCTTATGTCAGGGCTCTGGCATCCACCCCCATTCAAATCATGAGTCTCTAGCCGCATCTCTCAGAGTTAAAAAAAACAACAACAAGATTTATTATGAGTGACCATGCCGGCACTACCTGGGTGCAGCCAACTCTGAGATATTTCATTCATTTTACCCTTGACCCTGGTCTTCCCTCCCCCCTGGTTGTATATTCTCCAATGGGACACATCCATAGCCAAGAGTCATCAATCATGCTCTCCAGTAATAATCTTGCATGCCAGAAGCTTCGGCCACCTAGTCATTATCTATGAAGCATTTAAGGAATGCACTACTTCCCCAACTCCCTTTCTGCTGTCAACTCTAAAAGACCAGAGAAATATTTTTGAGTTGACATTTTAAAGTTGCCAAGTTTGGAGACCCCTGCACTAGACCAAACTGTTTCTCAATGGAACTATTAACGATGAACCATTTAAAGCTGCAAGTAGAAGGGCTACCTATCAAATAAAGTTGCCCATAGGTGACTGCTTTGCTTTCACTCAGTTCCCTATTGTCAGATAGTCCTCAACTTATGACCTTTCATTTAACGTTATGACAGCATGGGAAAAAGGTGATTTATACAGGTCCTTGCTCTTATGACCCCTCTGTCACTTGATCATGATTCGGGCACTTGTCAGCCAGCATGTATTTGCAGCATACCAAGGTCAGGTGATTGACATTTCTCAGGGGTTCTTCTGACAAACAAGTCACTGGGGAGAGTTGGATTCATTTAATGACCATGTGATTTGCTTAATAGCAATTGTAATAACATTAGATTTATATAGCACTTCACAGTGCTTTACAGCCCTCTCTAAGCAGTTTACAGAGTCAGCCTATTGCCCCCAACAATCTGGGTCCTCATTTTACCCACCTCGGAAGGATAGAAAGCTGAGTCAAACTTGAGTTGTTTCAGGATTGAACTCCTGGCAGTGAGCTGAGACTTAGCCTGCAGTACCACATTTTAACCACTGCGCTACCAAATGACTGTGTCATTCACTTAATGACTGCACCAAAAAGATAATAAAATCAGGTGTGATGTCAATTAACGTCCGCATCAACTAGCAATGGAGTTTCTGGTCCCAATAAGTCAAGGACTATCTGTATCTAATATTAAATAAAGTATGTCCTAACACTGCAGTAGTTCCACATCAATAAGAAAATTAGTCCACTTTTCCATAAAGATGTAAAGACTTGGTCTATTTACTTTAATGTATGCATATTCAAATCCAATCACATTTATTGTTACACTCAAAAGGCCAGTGATATGCATGCATATTCTGCAAGTGATTATTTTCCAGAATGCAATATCTTTTGGATGTGTGTTCTTCTAAAATAGTCTTCGCAAATGGATGTTCCCAGAAGAACTGTTTTGTATGAAATTGTTTTCTGCAACACAAAATGTTGGAGGTGTGGGTCGAGAAATCAGATAGCAGCAAGGAAATATATTCAGGTTCCTGGCTGAATGAATTTCAGCTGAAAATGGCTGCATCAATGTCTTGATTCTATGCCTTCTCCAAGAATACTGTACTAATCAGTTCTTCTTCACTTAGAGAGAGTTTAGATGTTTCTATTATCTATCTATCTATCTATCTATCTATCTATCTATCTATCTATCTAT